TGTTAAAGCTAAAATGGAGCCATAAGATGCTCTTTAAGGTGTTCTTATGGTTATGCAATTAAAATTATTGGTTAAGGTCAGGGAAAGATAGTGGTTTCAGTAAGCAGTGGTTTTAGTGCCAAAACAAAACCACAAATGAAATATGTTGATAAAAAAAAAACACTCTTCGAGGTGGCATTTCCTCTGAAACATAAACACTGTATGAAGGCATCTGTTTGATGACAGACACACATGTGGTCCTGTCTTTCCCCATCTCTCTCTTACACACACACACACACACACACACACACACAGCAGGTGTGATCTAGTTTAAAGCATCAGATCAGATGTGTGCTAATCCAGTTAGGGTTAATCTACTGACCAGGCTCCAGTTACACACTGATATCCTTCAATGGAGCACATCAGGGCACATTCCCACACACACACACACACACACACACACACACACACACACACACACACACACACACACACACACACACACACACACACACACACACACACACACACACACACACACAAATCAATCACACTTTCCTTCCTTCTGTGCAAACTAGTGTGTGGAATTGATATTCCTTTGTTGAGTCCTTTCAAAAATGACAATTACCTACATGAAATTGAAGGCCATAGAGGGGATCCGTCGTAGCTGAAACCAAGATAAAACATTTAAAACATTTAATTATTACTATACATACTCTCCAGCTGTTTTACACAGGGTTCCTTCTTCTCTTCCATCTTCCTAACTTCCTGCTCTCCCTCCCTCCCACCAACTTCCCTCGGCTCCTTTTTAGACCTTAAGTTATAGTTATCAGATGCGAAACAATATAAACCAATCCCATTGATGTAATAAAAATATTCCTTTGATTTTGCAGATGAGATGGCATTTGGGATTTTGCTTGCAGTAAAAATGTGCAAAAATCTTTGATGAACCACTGAATGCATATCTGCTATACTCCAGATCATTTCAAATCTGGTTTGTAGAAAAAAACAAATGGTCATGAAGCTACTGTGTCATGATGCTGTGCCAGATGATTGAACTAATTATTGAAGGAACCCACGCTGTTTGTAATTGCTCACAGGACGTTCCTCAAATTATAGACTGAAGAGAGCATGTATTATTCGTGCTGCTGTATGATGACTGCTGGTAAGAATTACATTATTGATAAGAACAACCACTAACCATGTTCAGACAAAATTGTTGTGTTTTGATGAGCATATAAATCTGTAGTTGGGTTTTCATTAAATTGTTGTAGTTTCCATCCAGTATATGCAAATATATTCAAAATAACATAGTAACTCTGCTAAATCATGGCATTTTATTTATGCTTCTCACCAAAATTGCATTCAGCTTTGGGGCTTTTTGGTGGAGTGTAGGATTGTAACAGTGAGTGGCACCATGAAATTAATTTTTTGTCTACAGTGGCATAAACAGGTACCATGACATCAAGGTCTATTAAAAAAATCTATTTCCAGCAACATCTTAGAGCATCTTCTCTTTTTTGATATCAATTTTCTATCTCAGACATTTATAAAAAACCTTCCACAAAATGTTTATAAAAAACATAGGAGTACCAAAATGGTGTAGCTTGATCTGCGCAATGAAAAGCTCATCTTTGCTTACTATAATGCAAGTTTATTAGGAGCAATGAAATTATTAGACAAGAGACAAGTGCAAACATTTACTTAAGCTTGATAAATATCATATTAAACCCAAACCTTAGAGCCGGCTTTATGCAGGCATGAAATTAAAGGCTATCATGTTGTCAGTCTTGTAGAAAAAATAGACAGAAGTCAATTTTCCATCCAATCGTAACAGAGATTTTAACAGAATTCCTTGAGAATTGGCAAAAGAAAAAGCAAATGAATGTGCATACAGTATCTATTCGTATGCTGTCAATATTAGGAGTTGGGCACATCAGGGTATGTGGTGCCAATTCTCCAGTTGAATGCCACTGACTGAACACAACCAGATGAAGTAATTAAAAGAGGCAAAATACAGTCTTGGGTCTCCTCCTGTGTCAAAATGTATATGGATAAAAAGGATGATGTATTTGCTTAACTTTTTTAAATGTTCAGTGGATTACCACCAGGTGTGGGATTTATATACTGTATATATATGAGAGAGAGAGAGAAACTGCTTATAGTGATCACTGATCACAGTTAGTGATCAACTGCTTATATGGATCAAAATGCTTGGCACAGAATCATTTGGGCTGCCACAGCCGTCCTGCCTGCTCTCCCATCAACCTCTGGAACTGTTGGGCTTCTGTAAATATCATCACAGAGTACGGTCTAGACCTGCTCTTTTATGAAAAGCGCTGTGAGATAACTGTTGTTGTGATTTGGCGCTATATAAATAAAATTGAATTGAATTGAATCATAAGTTCACTGTGTGTGTGAGTGTGTGTCGGTGGGCACTCACATGCCATGAGATATTTTACTCTACTGTACCCACATCGCTATGTCATGGCTCAGTGAGTTATTTAGCTCTACTGTTCCTGCTCTGCTGGCATTTTGGGACTTTTACATGCATAATTTTTGTCCCTGCTGTCTCACACCAGCAGGTACGTGCAGTGTTGGGCAAATTACTCAGAAATTGTAATAAGTTAACAAAAGTAACGTCACTCTCTCCTGACGAGTCTAAGCATCACTGGCAGTAGCTGCCGGAGTTTCATTCTGTAAGTTTCTGTTGCTGTGCTGCTTTAGCAGATAGAATTGTTCACAGTTGAAAGCTTTTTGCTGGTCACACAAAGTTTACAATGGACGACAATGTTCTTTGCACCTTAGACTGTGACACAATAATGGAAGTAGCTACTTACAGCAGTGGAAAGAACGCTCTTTCCCTCGTTCTCCATTCTTCCTTTAGCTTTTTGGCTAACAGCTGACTTGAACAAAATAAGGTCCGGTGCCACTGACCTGCAGCGCAGCCACGCATTCTCGTCATGATCAGTATCGCAGTGTTACTTGGATTACTAACTAATATTACTGTTTTGGAAAAGTAATCCATTACACTACTAGTTACTGGGTAAAGTAATATTATTACTGGTTACTACCTTTACCTTTACCTTGACCATTCAGCCAGGTTGAGAGGGCCACATTTAAATTCTTATTTTATATTCATGTATAAAATGGTAATCTGCATGAGAAAAAGCTAGCAATAATAAATATTCAGTGTGTGGTTAGACTTAAAATAAAGCCTTCTGAGAAGGTCACAGTTTAAGTTAGGTTTCTTAAAACTGACTATTTATTTCACACAGGAAACAAACACACAGTCTGCGAAAGTCCTGTGTTTGACCCATCCATTCACCCTGAGCTCCTCTGTGTGTGGACTCTTTCTACTGTTAGTCCTTTGCTAATGTCGTAATCGCCCTCTGATGGTACTGCACCTCCATTCACAGGTGTACATTTCATGCCTGTGCGAGGCAAAACCTGACCTGATCCTCTAGTGCAGTGGTCGGCACTTATCTTTGCACTGCTCTGAAGAAGCCGTCAGAAAAGAGATTTAGGATTCTGCTGAATGTGGAACGCAGGAATTTCCTCTGCCTGGAGATACTGGGGAAATTAAATAAGCGTCCATAGGTTGATATGGACCAATCGCCGGGATGTACACACTCCTACACATGCTTAATTGTGTAAAATGATCTCTTCATGATCAATTTGGTGAAAAGGGAAAAAAAATACTAGCAGCACGTGGCTTGAACACACAACCCTTTAAAAGAGAGTCCTGTGTACTGACTGAACTAACCAGACACGCAGTAAATGATGGTTTATAAATGATAAATTGACTATGTTCTGCCCCACCATCTCATAAGTAGAGAAAAATTTGGCCCAATGCCAGACTTATTTGCCACCCCTGCTCTAGTGGATTGCCAGGTACGCTTTCGCGTGATACTGGGGCTGGACCTTGGAGTGCATTCATCAGACAGCTCTTGCTGATTCTGTAATTAAAAGATGTCCAATCAAACCTCAAGTCAAAAACCATGTGGAAAATGTGACAGAAATAAGGCATTTATGTTTATTTCACATAGTAATTTGTGGAACATCTCATCGCTCCACATAGATGTTAAGTTTTCTTCCTTTTAGCGGAAGCTTGACTGGAATTTAGGTCGCATGCTTCATGTACATCATGATTTATTCAATTCTGTTTCCATTTGACTTTGTCGCATTTTGTTTTTATTGATACACCGACTTTTCCCCCTCAGCCAAGCGTAAAAACGTTT